ATGTATTTCTAACCATTTCATGTAAGGAGCTTTTAGAGGCATTAAACTCTTTGGACGTCTGGTTCACATCGAGGTCATCACCACCACTGTGAACAGTTCTGTTTCTGTAAGTTTCTCCAGAGTGAAGCATTTCACATCAAACCACTCTGAATAACTTTCTTCACTATTTTTTGAAAAGTAGGTGGAATTCCCCTTCAAATTATATGGAGGTTCATTAAACCTTAAAAAGGTTATTCATACATACACTTCTCATTTAAAAAAAAAAAAACAACAAGTTCTTTAAAGAACCATCCACTGAAAGTTTTTTTTTTATAGGGAACCGAAAGTTCATATAGCACATAAAAGGAACTCTTTCTGGTACCTTTATTTTGAAGAACAGAGGTTCTTAAGCTTTTCTATTAATTGCAAAAAAGTCCACAAACCCTCACAGATTTATTTTATGCACTTAATCCAACTGTTTAGTATTAGGTGCATGAGGCAAACTAGTACCATAGTATTTATCTGAGTAGAGCATGACCTTTTCCAGTCCTGTGGGACTGTTAGCTTTCATCAATCGAATGAGCTATAAAATATAAGCCCCTCAGTGCTGTCTTTTGCCCTGTCATTCATTTTAAACTGGTTTGCTGATATAACAGGGTGCTTTGTAACCAGATATCGCCACACACTCTTAAAAAGATGCTAAAAAGGGTTCTTGGTGCTATGCTGTATTTTTAACCTTTGGTTTCCTCAAGAATGATGCTTTAAAAAAGTACTTGGGAATGTAAAGAACCTTTTAAAGGTTTAAACAACCTTCACATAATGTAAAGGTTCTGTACCAATTTGAATGTTCTTCCTAGAACCTTTATATTAGGTGGAGGTACCTTAAAAAGGTTCTTGCTTGATACAAACGACACACGACACGTTGGTCTAGTGTCTAATTAATAAAACCAAACTCACTGCACTTTTGTACATCATAAAATTGTAGACCTGCTTGCTATGTGCCATTGGCTCCACGTTGAGAACCACAGATCTAAAAGGACCAAAAGTGTAGAATACAAGAAAAAAACAGTTATGAAGTTATGGTTTCTTCTTTATATCAAATTGCACAAATGTCTTAATTCATGGGACAGATCACTCTGTCTCTAAATGGGATAAAGTGAATCTCACTTGCTCTTGGAAACTTTCAGTGGTAGAAAAATTTCTGATTTCAGAGCCACACAGTTCAGGTTTCTCTTCTTATTCTTAATCTCCATTATCTCCATTATCTATGTTGATAAAGTGTTTCATTTACTTACTTTTCACTGCCCCTCATTGTTGCTGGTTGGTAGTTTTCTTCGTGTAATTCTTTTGTTAGTATGTTTCCAATAGTTTTCAAATTGCCTTCTTCAGCCCACTGCTTCTCCCATAATCCCCCAAGCAGAAGTCCAGTACAACACCAACACTAAACTTATCACTCGCAAACATGTCCACTACTGAAAAGAATATTTGTTTGATCATCCCTCAAAAGAGCTAATTAACACTGAGATTAATAACTGATCATCACATTGATTTATCAGTCTACTCAGGCTTTAGCAGAGCTCAGTAACACTGAGATTAATAACTGATCATCACATTGATTTATCAGTCTACTCAGGCTTTAGCAGAGCTCAGTAACACTGAGATTAATAACTGATCGTCACATTGATTTACCAGTCTACTCAGGCTTTAGTAAAACTGAAGTGTTTGTGAAGGAGCCATTGACTTAAGTCTAATGTCTAACAAGCATGTTTGCTACATGTTGGGCACTGATTCTAAAATAGTTAATAAACAACATTAATGGTGTTTATTTTGAAGATTTTATGTTTATTAATATTTTTTAGGGGGTTAGTATCCGACAAGTATTCTAAAAATGTAAAAAGTAAAATGTAACTTGGACTGAATACAGATACTTTTGTCTGTATTCTGACCAATATTCCCAAACCTGCCTATTATACACTTACATACAATATGCAGCACCAATTATCTGAGTCTTTCTGTAGATAATATGAAAATTGAGACAGCATATGTGCCTTTGTTGGCACGTTAAAAGTAGTGTGTGGCCAATAGGAATGTCTCTTGAATAACAAATTATAATAAGAACATTTTCTTTGTTTTTTGTATGGTTATGCAATCAGTTCCTGTAACCAAGCAGAAGATCTCTCAGCAGCCGCAATGCTGAATCCACTAACACTCAATGTTCCTAATAAGATGTAATCAATGTTCTTAATAGGGTGAGATGTACACCACTTCATTTTGGCATTATGCTTCTTCAAGCAGTGTTTGTGAGGGTCTCTCTGAAAATGGCCCCTGGCCGTAACTGTCATTCGCTAACAGAGTGGTGGGGGTAGAGGGGACATGCTCTGCTGGAGTGGCTGCAAGGAGTAATTGCTGGTCCAGCTGACAGGCTAATCAGCCTCTGCTTCTCATTAAAACGTAAGGGCAGGAAGCAGCCACGCATTCAGGACCAACTCACTCACTGCCAGCTTATTTCAGTTTGCACCACTTTAGACTTTGAATACTTAGAGTGGGATTTTATTCTTGGTCTGACAAATGATACCAAATGGCTAACTTGGTTGATTATTTTTGTGTTATAATCAACAGTCCTTTCATGTGTCATAACCATTTCCACCTAAGATTTGGACTAAATAAAAATCATTAAACGAATGTCACTATTTACATACATAAGTGTATATGATTAATTAAATGGCAGATCAGTCTTATGGAGTCATTGACTAGATTTGTTGCATAAACCTGTAAAAACTAATATAACTAATAGGATCACCTCTGGCAATATTACTTTTACTATTACCAACACAGCTCTTTTTTTTTTCAGCAGCTACACAGACGCAGTCAGCACGATGTACTTATTAAAGGACAAATATCTGAAAAAGCAGCACAATAATAGATATTCAGGACACTCACTCTGTGTTGAGATTTCAGAGGAGCTGCTGGGGGATGCAGGCTCCATCTGCGATGGATTAGATGCAAAATTTCAGGTAGCCTCGTCCAGCCCATGTGCTGCCCACATTAGCCTGAAAATTACATTTCCACAACATTACTTGGTCAAATAAACAAGAGGCCTCAGTCTGCGTAGATGAGAATGAGCTGCGTTTCTGAGATTAGACAGCTACACTCATCAGCACATGAATGAACCAACGAAAACAGATATATATATATATATATATATATATATATATATATATATATATGTGTGTGTGTGTGTGTGTATGCATGAATGTATGTATCAGAATAGTACTATTATTAGATACATTGTTATTATAATACATTTAAGGTATAATACCTTTTATGTATTTAATATAAAAAAGGAAATAAAGGTATAAAATAATAATAATAATAATAATAATAATAATAATAATAATGTAGTGACTTGAAACGGAATTAAAACTGAACATAATTGAACATCAAATCTTGTTTAAAGCGACTGAAAGACTAATCTCGACACTAAGGCAGAGAAATTCAGATAATTTAGGAGACTTTAGCAGCCTGCTAATGGGTATATTTCTTTTTTTTCATTTATATGTTTGTTTGTTTTCATTATAATCAGCTCATTTTAGAAAAGATTACTCGTGTTTGTGCTCCATCATCATCATCATCATCATCATCTTCACGGGTCACAAACTGAGACTTTGCTAAATAAAGCTTGAACGAGTTTCCTTAATGTAGCGATGCTTAGATGTGCTGCGGGGAAAGAAGCGAAATAATCTGTCAGTCTTTTATTCCTTCAATCAGTCACTCTGTGATCCTCCCGTATCTGACCGCGCGAGTCAAACGATCACTTTAAATCTGTAATACAGCGCGTTTCAATCACATTCAGTCACGTCTAAAATGCTGCAGTCACGCAGTTGGGCGTTTGTCGTGTTTACTTGTGATTGCGGCTTTTGTGAAGATTTTCTGGGGAAGTTTTGGTTCAGGAGTTTCTGAACACATGTCGCCCCCTATCGGTGCTAATGCAGAATGCGGAGTATTACACCAACTTCAAACTCCACGCAGCTTCACTCAGACACGTGCGCTGCTCATTCGGCGCACCTCAGACAAAAATACCAGGCAAAATACAAAATAGACTAAAAACAGAATTTAGAGCGTGGAGATGAGACCCGGCTGAATGGATCAGGAGTGAAAGCTGCTGGATCTGCTCGGACAGCAGATACTGTAATGAAGGCTTTATGACTGTGAAGCACAGAAAGTGACAGAGATAATAATAATAATAAAAATAATATCTCTAATAGACTGATATAGAGAGGCCAGGACAGTCAAACCGAACAGTTAAGAATGAGAGATGATCTATTTTGTCATCACATGTGAAGGTGTGTCCGAGTGAATTGGGCCGGTTTAGTCTAATCTATCGCAGTAAGAACATCTACAAACAATAAAGCCATGACACGATCACGTCTTGCTTCACAGCTGTGATGGATAATCAGTGATAAGAAGAGTTGAAGGTTATGGATGTTCAGCCTACACACTTAAAAAAAGACGTTAAAAGGGTTCTTCAGGTTGATGGGGAATGTGTTGTGGCAAATATGGTCCAATAGAAGCTTCATGAAAATGGTTCTACACAGCACCAAAAGGGGTTCTTTTATTGTTACAAGCTTGATATCGTAACTACAGAAGAACAGTTTTTGGTGCTTCATAGAAGCATTTTCATAAAGGTTCTACATAGAACCATATACAACACATTCTCCATCAATCTGAAGAACCATTTCACCACGCAAAGAACCGTTTAAGCATGAAATAGAACCATTGCCTTTACTAGAGAACCGTTGAAGAGCCATATTTTATAAGAGTGTAGACTAGTTTTCCCACCGTGATTCAACACGATATGTTCAGTAATCACTTCGCTTTACTTTGTCAGTCCGCGCAGAGACAGAGAGAGAGAGAGAGAGAGAGAGAGAGAGAGAGAGAGAGAGAGAGAGAGAGACCTGTATCATGTTCAGTCCTCAGACTCCGCCCCCTCCTCAGCCGCTGCAGTGAGTTATAAAGGCGCGAGCTGCAGGAGTGTGTGAGTGTGTGTTCAGACTCGGTTTGAGGATTTCCCCCTGATCAACCCGCCGAAGAGGGTCTTTTTCGCAGCGACAGTGTTTCTCCGAGCACTTGCATGATCTCAGGTCACGAGCCCGAAGCGCGTGCATGAGAAAAGCTCGTTCATATCCTTTAACGGACTCTTGAAACTCTGACAGCTTTCGCGGCACACGGGAGCGCGCGCCCTCCAAACTACTCTGTTGGGTCTTTCTTTCTATTTTTTTTTTTCTGCACGCTCCGTGCACGAGGATCTTTCCCTCCGCTCCACGCTTTTCCTTTTTTTCGTATGAATCTCCTCGACCCGTACGTGAAGATGGCCGACGAGCGGGACAAGGGTCTCCGCGACGCCCCCAGTCCGAGCGGGGACTCCGACGACTCCGGGGCCGCTTCGCCGTGTCCGTCCGCCTCCGGCTCGGACACGGAGAACACGAGGCCCGCCGAGAACCAGGACGACTTCAAGAAGGACGACGAGGACAAGTTCCCCGTGTGCATCCGCGACGCCGTGTCGCAGGTGCTCAAGGGCTACGACTGGACGCTCGTGCCCATGCCCGTGCGCGTGAACGGCTCGAGCAAGAGCAAGCCGCACGTGAAGAGGCCCATGAACGCGTTTATGGTTTGGGCGCAGGCGGCGCGGAGGAAGCTCGCGGACCAGTATCCCCATCTGCACAACGCAGAGCTCAGCAAAACCCTGGGCAAACTGTGGAGGTAAGAATCAGCACTGCGCTGCCTTCTGTTTGAACGCTACTGTTCACTCGCGATTGTACTGGTCGCAGCCTAGACTGTAACCCTGAAAACTGCAGCGTAGAGTTCATTTATTCCGCTTTTTATTGTACTGCGTCATTTATTTCATCATATCTTTTTTCTTTATATGTCTTTCACTTAATGTTTTAGCCTTTGGTCTTTAAGTTATTTATGTATTCCAGCTTGCTTCTTAGTTGCAAGTCTGAGAAAGTTACTTCAGTTATAAGTTTATGCCTGTAATATTACACAAAATAAGCTTGCAAGACTTGGTGGACTAATAATTACATACATATTACAGCTAAAGCAACAGATATAACAAATATAATATATAGTACTACTGCTATCATTCATGACGGTGATAATAATAAAGAAATAATGAGGAGAATCATTATTACATTAGTTTCTACCTACCTATCTCTACTGTGCATGATTTACAATGACAATATAGGGAAACAAAGTTGTGAACGCCTGCGTTGCTTTGCTTTTACACAGGTTGCTGAACGAAGGTGAGAAGCGTCCGTTTGTGGAGGAGGCCGAGCGCTTGAGGGTGCAGCACAAGAAGGACCACCCTGACTACAAGTACCAGCCCAGACGGAGAAAGTCGGTGAAGAACGGGCAGGCAGAGGCAGAGGAGGGTGAGCAGACCCATATCTCACCCAACGCCATCTTCAAAGCCCTGCAGCAAGCCGACTCTCCAGCCTCCAGCATGGGCGAAGTGCACTCTCCCTCAGACCATTCAGGTACAAAACCTCTCTGAATCCTACATAACTCAAAGCAAATCCAAATCGCATCGTTTTTAATAGGGTAGATTGAAACATTAGGGCATGTGGGACAAGCACGTAAGGCCTTGAATGTTCTTGTTTTATTAATTTCCCACTTTTTCTTGTGCTCTAACTGGAATGAACAATAATTTCTTGAAGTATCCCCTACTTTTCTCGTATGGATTATAATCGAATGTGCCTTGTTGATATTGGAATGGCAGCCTTGAATGTGGATCCAATTCAGAATTGGAGGGCAATTGTAAATAAAAGAAACCTGTAAATGATTACAGGGTTACAAGCGGTGATGCAAACATAGCAGTTGTCTTTACTCTACTAACGTACCATCTAGCGAGCACATTATATAATGGCACCATTCCCACATGCAGGGAAAGCTCATAAATCTTATCGGCGCTTTCTTAATTTCAGGGCCTATCTTTATTTGCGCTCGGGTTGCGTCAGTAATGTAATGCGTGGTGGGTGGTTAACCCCTTGTGCTCCAGATATATGTGGTTATTTAATTACTAATCTTAATTTATTCAACTTAATGACTAATATGTAAGTTAAAAAGTTAGGGATGGGTCTTTTTAGAGTTTAAGAGATTTACGTCTTGTTCTGTCCTCCACAGGCCAGTCCCAGGGTCCTCCAACGCCGCCTACGACCCCCAAAACAGACCTGCCAGGTGGTAAGCCAGACCTGAAGCGCGAAGGCCGCCCCCTGCAGGAGGGAGCCGGCCGGCAGCTCAACATCGACTTCCGGGACGTGGACATTGGCGAGCTGAGCAGCGATGTCATCTCCAACATTGAGACCTTTGACGTAACAGAGTTCGACCAGTACCTGCCGCCTCACGGTCATCCGGGGGTTCCCTCTAATGCCCAGGCCTACTCCACCGGCTACGGTCTGACTGGCTCCACCGGCTGGATGTCCAAGCAGCAGCAGCAGCCACAGCAACAGCAGCAGCACTCCCTGACCCAGCTGAACCCGGCAGATCAAAGCCAGGCCCAGCAGCGCTCCCCGCAGATCAAGACGGAGCAGCTGAGCCCCAGCCACTACAGTGAACAAGGCCAGGGCTCTCCCCAGCACGTGGCCTATGGTTCCTTCAACCTGCAACACTACAGCACCTCGTCCTATCCGTCGGTGGCCCGCACCCAGTATGACTACACTGACCACCATGGCGGCTCCTACTACAGCCACGCTGCCGGCCAGGGCTCCGGCCTCTACTCCACCTTCAGCTACATGAGTCCAGGCCAGAGGCCCATGTACACCCCAATCGCCGACACAGCTGGGGTACCATCGGTGCCTCAGACCCACAGTCCCCAGCACTGGGAGCAACCCGTCTATACCCAGCTGTCCCGGCCTTAAAAGAGAGATAAACAGTGCCAACAGCACAGACTGAACAGTTATCACCACCTTTATCCAGAGACTGCTATCCAGAGGCCTTGAAGTGCCTTCCTTCCACTCCCTGCACAAGCCAACAGAGAAAAACAAGCAGGACTTCTTTTTTTTTTGTTGTTATTTTAGTACTGAAAATATCGGAAATGGCTCCCGACAGTGCCTTTTTTTAAAAACAATGCTCCGAGTTGCGATTATATTTTTCTAGTTATAATGAAAAAGAAAAACTCGCTTGAAAGAGAGGATTCCTCTGTGAGGACATATTCGTTATAAATATTTTAGTATGTACTGTGTATGTATCTCTTTTTTTTTTGTCGTTTTCAGGTTGAGGATACGAGAGCCGTATAGAGGGGGTACAGCAGTGTATTTTTGTAAAGAAAACTAAAAACACAGCCTTTATCTTTGCTCTGTACATATCTTACTGCTCTTTTCGAATCAGGCCGAGCTGTGTGAAGTGGTTTATGGAAATCTTGTTTCATTTCCTCTGTCAGTGAAGCAGCAGCCACAAAGTTCAATAGACAGAAATTATGTCTTTCCTTTTGTCTGTGTTTTGCGGTTGTCGTTTTGGAAGTGCCATCTTTTTTAGCGCAGATTAAGTGTCCTGCCTTTGTGCCATCAGTGCCTGGTCAGCCAGCGTAGAGATCCGTAGTGCCTCAACAGCCGTCACTCACCTCCTTCTCTCTCTCTGTCTCTCTCTCTCTGTCTCTCTATCCCTCTCTCTCTCTCTCTCTCTCTCTATCCCTCTCTCTCTCTCTCTCTCTCTCTCTCTCTTTCTCTTTCTCTCTACGACCCAGCAGTAAGAGAAAGTGTCCCTCGATCAGAGATGAGACTCCTCAGGCGCTCCCTGTCGGTCAGATTTCGCATTCCTTGCCCCTGTCGAGTCTTAACCTCTTTAATTTATTCATTAGTATTAATATTATTTTGATAAGTAATTACTATGTTGCATTTTATCATTTACTTCACCTTTTTAAGACTAATTTGAGCTGAAAAGAAATTCCTTTTTTTTCTCCCCCCTCCTCTGGAGATCACAGTCTAGTTGTGGTACAAACTTTAACCATCTTGGTTTATTTATCATTTGTAAATGTTTCCATTTGTTTTTTATGTGTTTTTGATGATCTAGTTGTGTACAGATTTCTTATAATTGTGATAAAACTTGATCAAATTTGACAACAAACAACTGGAAGTTTTTTTTTTTCCCATTTAATTCTAACAAATATGAATAAATGGATTACTGGAGGCCATGGCCACATTGTAAAGATGTTTTTCTTTATTGAATCACCAGCATACAGTCATTTTTTTATGTTTTATTCCTTATTCATTATTTCATATCTTAGGTCTCATGTCAACATCCTTTAATGCAAATGAATCTTTGTAAAACACGCCATTGTCTTAAAAGAAGCTTATCTTTTGTATCATACTGTTTGCAATAAAAGAAAAAAAAAGATACAGAAAATACATCACCGTCTATCATGGCTTTATTTGGTGCAGACAAAGCAAAACAACCCTTGCGCTTGATATTAACACTTCAGAATATAAATGATTAAATGATTAGTTGAGAACCTCCATAGTAGGACTTCATCCCAAAGTCCAGAGAGTAGTGTCGAAACGTGAAGCGATTCTTTTGTTTAATCCTCGGGCAGCTGAGCTTTAAACAACTTAATCTCAATCCATCCAAGACACATAAAAGGCCTCGTTGCTTTAAACGAGCAGGACGTGTGATGTTTGGGTCATCTTTTTACATTAGGTTCTCAGACCATGAGCTCACAGTCCATTACTGTGCACTATTGAGATGATGAATAAGGCCTAGCTTTCCCCAACACCAATACCCCACTGCTTAAAGAAACAAACGCACTGCAAAAAGCTGTTTATTCATTACAAGGTCTCGCATAAAGGAATCGGCGTGCCCGTGATAAATCACAGACTGTACAAACACAATCAGCGCTTGGTTTGGAAAGGGTCCCTCTATGTTGAAATCAACAGTAGGAGGGGGGTGTAGATGCCTGTTCTGTCTTCTGACCCATTATTGCCTACGGACCACTGTCGGCACTTGAATTTTCTCCAAAATTTTGGACTGCAAGTGCACTAACCAAATATGTATACAATCTACATGTGCTATTTCATGTGCAATCATTATACCAGACAAACCATGAGCAACATTGTTGGCAATGGTTGTTGTGGGGACTTGACATAGCACACAGCCTTAACATTTGAACCCAGTGTATTGTACTGTAACATATGATTGAATAACCATAGTAACAAGCACCTGAGGGCTCATGTACTAAACCTTTTGTGCCAGTTTCAGGCATAAGTTGGGCAAAAAAAATGCATTTGAGGGAGGTACGTGTCATTGTTTCCCTATTTCCCAAGTTTTCTTTATCTGGAGTAGAACTACACCTTTGTTGTGGTGGGTAAGACTAATTGTAAGCACGTATTGCAGTCGCATCAAGACACAATTTGTGCTGGGCCTACATTCATACATACAGCTGGCCCCTTGCACCATTTAAATAATTCTACTATGCTTAAAACTTGGAATTATTCCATTCAATACGAGATACAATACAACACAGTGGTGCCTCGATTCAATACACTTCTTGAGACACCAAAAATAAGGATTGGCTGAACATGTGTCATATGTTAATGTTTCTATTTTGGGTTTAATAGAGCCCTCAACACCACAAAAGTACAATATTTGAAACAGAAGTTTTGTGCTTTATAGTGTGTTAATCTAATGCTCTGGCCACACGTTAATATTAAGCTAATAGAGCGAAGTGCTAAAAAAAAAGAACACCCATCAAATCACGATTTGTCAATTTTGAGTGAAAATAATTTAACACATCCTCTACAGAACAAACTTCTGACATTTTTCTGCAAGTTTAGTGCCTAGTTACTGTTTATTTCCTGAATTTAACAAACAAAACAAAAAACAAACAAACAAGCAAACCAAAAAAAAACCGTAAAATATAACATATCTCACATACCAAAACTTTTGCATAGGCCACATTTTATGATTTATTTTCTTGCAATATATTGAATCCAGCAAATAAACAGTAACTGTGGGTAACAGAGGATATGTTCAATTTATTGTCACTTAAAAAATCAACAACATGTATTTGACCAGGGGATCCCAAACTGTTGCACAGGATTATATGCATTACTCCACTTTATAAAATACAATCTGTCAACACGATTTTGTCTTTTGGTTTGCTTACTTTTGGCAGTAACTGTGTTCATTCCAATATATTTACTCCAGTGGAAGTGAGGTGCATGTGAACCAGGTAAATTCAGTGCATTTTGTTATTGTTCAGTGTACAGTACTGATGATACTTCCACTTTTTAATATTATTTGTCTCATAGCAACTGGACATGAGACACCGATGCCACAGATGATGAATATGGAAAAAAAGAGGGAAGCCAAAGAGTGGGACGCATCTGATAAAGCCATCAGTACATACTTTAGAGGAACTAGGACGAGGAGGCACTGAGAGCCCACGAACAGCTGCTGTGGCGACTCTCTCATCATACACCTCTCAGTAAAGGAGAAAAAAGAAAACGTGCTCTGTACTCAGCTATGCAAGCACACAGTGCTGATGACTACATACCTCATCGGGGACATAATTAACAGGCACACCTCATGACATCATGTAGAAAGTCAGGAAATTACATCAAAACACACAACACAGTACAACAACAACTAACCTCAACCCAAGAAGCGATGAGGTAGAGTGACTGTGCTAGTTTAGGAAGCGGATCTTCTTAGATAGAGTTTAAGGCAGGGATGGGACGTGCTGTACATGTGCAGAGGTCTTAGGCACCTAAGCTTTGTCTTCGTGGTTTGCTTGCAAAATATCTACATAACACTAGAATATTTGTAAACAAACATTAATGCAATAAAAGGCGGTGGTGGGTAGAGTAGTCTAACCCCATACTTGAGTAAAAGTTTTAATACTTGAGTAAAAGAATGTTAAAAGTACATTCCTTAAACACAACTTGAGTAGACATATTGGGTCAAACTGCCTAACCCCCGTGTGGTGTTGGGTTCTGTGGGACCCATTTTCAGTGTTTACCAAAAGAAAAAATGATTTGACGAATTATAATTTAAACCCCAGACTCTTTGGCCTTTGCTCATTTTCTGTGAAGAACATATAAAATAAAAGTTTTTCAATCACTTCACACTGTACACCCCCTACACATTTATATTACACATGTGGTGTTGGGGTGAACCCACGGGGAATAAAAGTGTGGAGCTGCTGTGTCCGTTCACTCTGTTCTCCTCCTACATGGCCTGCTGTTAGCATGTGTGTGTCTGTGTGTCTGTGTTTGTATGTGTGTGTGTGTGTGTGTGTCTGAAGTTTGTCCAGTTCTATTCTTCTCTTTTTGGTCTAAAAGAAAACACTAAAGCTCCAAAGTCAGAGATGTGACCAATCGCAAAGCAGTACAAATGCTGTCACCAATAAAACATAATGAAATTGAACACGAAAAACAAGTTAGTGACTAAAAATGAATGGCTAAAATGTAAATGAGTAAGAGTAGATTTTTTATTCACTAATATACTTGAGTAGAAGTAAAACTATCATGATTTAAAAAAGGTATTGAACTGTCTCTGGGGTGGTACCCCATCTTGTCACTGAGGTGGTACCCTCAAGGGTATGTCTTTAGTACCTTCAGTTGGGAAACATAATTGTACCATATTCTATTTGTAATTATATTTTTTCAGTTACTTTGATTCTACACACTCTGTCTTGCCTCCAGGCTTTTTATTTTATGTTTTTATTTTAAAACATTAGATCATGAACAGGTAGAATTACATAAATTTTCCCTGGACAATAAATAAATAAATAAACAAACAGTTGGAGTTTAAATCATTGCTTGTATCTTGATGAACAAAAATGTAGCTGTACAGAATTAGTAGTTGTAGTAGTAGTACTAGTAGTGGTGGTAGTAGTAGTAGTAGTGGTAGTAATATTATGTAAGCCTGCCCAGAGCCCTATCTAACCAGATACAGAGTGTCCACAAACTTGCCTTTCAGCCCTCCAAACTCTCCCCTCGGAGACTGTCTACTACCCTCCAGGGCCCAGACATTCAGCCAGCAAACCAGGAATAACAGTCACTTTCAGAACCCAAAAATAAGAACTGATATGAAACACCACATCCCTAACAAGAATTTTAAATGTAGATGTAGAAAATGTTTTTAGTATTTAGCCATTCTTTTGTTAATGGGGAATTCCACTGATTTTTCTAAATTTCGACATAATACAATTGCTGAGATGTAATCAAAGTCCTTCAAAGTGGTTTGATGTGAAATGGTTCATTGTAGAGAAACTTACTGACTCTGATTTCTTTACAGTGGTGGTGATGGGAACCAGGGGTCACAATGTCTACAATGCAAATACAGCCATTATATTTATTATCCAAAACCACCAGTGAACCTACACTTATGAGTTTTTATATGTAATGTTGATTAGGGGTGGGAATCTCTAGGCACCTCATGATTCGATTCGATTACGATTCAGAGGGCTGCGATGTGATTATAAAACGATTATCGATGCATCTCGATGCATCTTTTTTCTCTATATAGCATTTATATTTTCTCACTGTGTGAGCTCAAGTTTCGAGTACAAGTTTCAAGTTTATTTTTCATTTGCACAACATGTCAGGACATTTATGCATTGAAATGCTTGTGGTGAGGTAATCACTCATACAGAAATAAGTAAAAATAAAAATACAAGAAAAACCGAAATATATTAAATATACACGAAATATACACAGAATATACAGAATATAGAGACAATATACATTTTAAAGTGACTAAGTAACTTACTGTGTTATTACGGTGTTACGGTGTTATTGTTATTTAAAGTGACTTGGTACTTTTAAAGCAAAGTATTTGTAATGATCCATAATGAATTTACTTCCAATATCTTTTTCAATAAATCAAATGGAAGTGATGTGGGAAGTGAACTAACTAGAAGGCTCTCATTCAGTGCTCTTGTTTGGAGCACGAGAAGCTGCTGCTACTCATCTGTGATAAAATGCACAGTTACGGTGAAATAAGATCCAGTGGTAATGGATGTCCACGCAGCACATGTTACAGCTATTCTACCCGTTTTCTTTAGTGATTTTATAACTTGTAGAGACGGGGGGGAACGCTGTGTCAGTAAAATATCTTTGAGACGGGATGTGTGCAACAGAGCGAAAGCTCTGTTTCGCAACGACTGAGAACGGGCGTGCAGACTGCAGGTGCATAGCAACGATGCGTTATTCGCATTTATAAGCAGCGCAGTTGGTTTCCTAGTATGTTAAATCTGCAGCGACAGATGGTCAAACACTAAAAAGTGGCGAAGATGAAGTCGTTGTGCCTCAGTTAGAATTTAAGGTGGGATGGGAGGAAAGCGGCTATAGCTGAAGCTTAAAGCAGAGCGAAGTAAATCTGTGTTATATTGTTTAGTC